TATATATATATACTATTATAAAAATATTAATATAAATACTGAAAAAATATTAATCTAAAATTCTGAAAAAAATTAAATTACATATTAAAGTACATTATTAATTGTACTTTATTAAATATAATAATTTTAAGCCAACGATAATAGGCGTTCGTGGTCATATGCCTTTATAATTATATTGTCTTACATTCATACCACGTATCTATCCTAGATTGTTTAATTAAATTACACTTCTGGAAAAAATAATTTTTCAACAGTAAAATAAAAGTCTCTTACACGCTAAAAATCATCAGATGCACCATCTCCATATAAATTTCGCGAATTATGCAATTTCGAATGATCCGGAAGTACTTCAAAATTGATACAATTATTGCCTTTGGCCTGAGAACTCGATTGCGTTACACATATCGCGGAAATAGTTTCATTTAATAATCGGTTCCGTTTTTTATTTTTAACGTAGGAACTATTGAAAATATTCGTTCGGCCTCCGCATTCGAATGTAGAAAAGAAGGAACCGCGCAAACTAATAATTCTAAATTTGGAAAAACTTTATCATTATTTAAATTTACAGACTCGAATATTTTTTTCCACATACAATCTATTTCTAACTGAGCTAACTCTTCTTTTTGTACGTCGTTAAAAAAGGAAGGCAAAATCCTCCATTCGTTGGCTAATTTTGTTATATCAATATTTTTTAATCGCGTTGCAATAAAAGTTAAATCTCTAATTTTTAGCCTACCTTCACTATATAGAGCAATTTTTGGATTAAAAAATGTAAGTTGCTTAAAAATTTCATCATTGTATGGTAATCATTTTAACATTTCGCGAATTGTTGTTTTGTAAAATTCTAAACATTTTAAACGAATTTCGTGCGCGTGTTCTACAGATAATGTCGCTAAAAGACATTCACAATCCGGTCCTACATGTATATCGTTAACATTTAAAATATTATTTTCATCGTTAATGTTAAAAATTTCAATATTTTTTAAAGTCTCCGGAGTCATAAAATTTTGTCCAATTTCATAAATAAGTTGTTCGCTCATATACTGTATGAATTAATACCTTACGCGATTGGAAAAGGGCATTAAAATTATTTAAAAAATTTAATGAATATTTTAAAAATAAGAGATAAGCTTTTATTGATATATCATTCAATGAATTTAAGATAATTTCTGCGGATTTTGATTTTTCTTCAACAACACAAAAAATAAAATAATGTCTTAAGACTTCCCAATTATCTAAAAATCGAACAATACATTTTTGCAATACGAGCCATCTAGTATTAGATAATTTTAAAATCTTATTTCTTTCTACATTAAAAAATTCTTGGAACTCATCTAAAATTGCGCATCTTTTTGCACTGCCCGAAATATAAGTAGTTACATTACGAATTAAATTTTCACACGATTGCGGTAATTGTTCACAAGCTTTACTAGCTACAAGCGCGGCTGAATGACAACTGTAATTTAATGTTACAAGACCCGGTACTTCTAATTTTAATCGCGTCATGAAGGAATTATTACATCCGATCATTACAGCAACATTATCGCTTGCCATTCCAACTATATTATTAATAGGAATTTCTTTTTTTTTCCTGGAGAAGATTTTTAAAAACTTCAAAAATATTTTCGTGGAACTATCTTTTGCATCTACAGATATTAAATCCAATAATTGTGTTGTTACTAATTAATCAACCGTTCAATACAAATCGAACGAGAATCCACATCATTTTTATATTAGAAATATCGGTACTTTCATCAATTAAAATTGAAAATTTACATGTTTGCAAATATTGAACAAGTTTGTGCACTTCATATTTACACCTATTACACGTGTTATGATTTTTTTACATTTATCTTGAGCTAATGTAACATCTTTCGCAATTTTAGAATCTATGAAGATATCTTTTAATAATGGAATTAAGTGATCCGCAGTACTAAAAGCTACATTATGTTCTGCAAAAAATGCTGCTAATTTAATTTCTGCCCGTTTAACATTATCTTTATGCGTGGTAGTGGATCTGTTATTATCTATTTTATCTTTATTTTGGAAAGTTACATTATGAATATGTCTGACCG